CATAGTTAACAAATTTAATTTGCCGTTTGATGCAATTGTTCGAAATGTGCATATTTATCTATGTTTTATTATGGAAACTTCATCGTATAATATCAAATTCAGTCGAACTCTAGATAAAGTTCAATAAATCAAACTCGAAAATATCTTTTGCGAAACAGACAAAATGCAAAAATGTGGGTGATATGAGTAGAAATTTATTTTCAAAAACAATAAATCAATTAACGAATAAATGACGTCCAATAATGAATTAAGGAAGGGAACGTGCCTCGAGAGACTCAAACGAATAATCGTAGAGTTGATAACGTTCAATCGGCGGTGTAACACACGCGTAACCTCGATCCGATGTGCTCGTGTCACGCAAAACACCACCGCGCATCATGAAGAAAAACTGCTGTAAATTACAAAAATCACTCAAATCAAACGTCGAATGACAAAAATAATAATTTCACAAAAATTCTCGCAAATAACTCTCATTCTATTGAACAAACAACCTGCACAACATTTCATCTCGTACAGTGTGTGTGTGTGTGTTCTAATCATTCATACGATGTGTGATCATCATAAAAACAACATAAAAATATAACGTGCAGTTCGCTTAAAAAACTGTTTTCTGAAACATTTTCAACCAAAATTGAAATTTTGTGATTTTGAAACAAACAAATTGTAATTCTCAGTCGAATTCTAATCTTAAAACACACGAGAATCGCGATGAGATAATGAAAAAACAACGAAATGCAAGCAATACAAACCTCGCCAATTAACGGGTATCGTTTCGGGTCGACATTCGGCGCAACTCGGAACAATCCCATTCCGCACATAGTCAACAACAAATGCTCTACCTGCAAATGAGAGTTTTCGTCAACGTAGAATTTTCCTCGTAAACTGATTCATTTACTATTGCGAGCGATTTCATTCAGCTCAATATTACTCACATTCTCAGCACAAAAAAACGACTGAAAATCGCAAATTCACTATCATTTCATCGCACTGCAATAGATTCGAAGAAGAAACAACCCATCAGACCACTTCTCGAAATGATTTTATACCGTTGAATTGAACAAAACAAAAAACTAATCGTGAGATTTAAAAAAAACCAAAATAGTTTAAACTTACATATCGAAGAGCGCGTTTATCGACCAGTAAATGCACACGCACTTCATGCGGTAAATCCATCACTAGTAAGTGTCGCATTATCGGATCCCTCAGCAAAGGCTCGATTGGTTCACACTGAAATCCACTGAACATCAATCGCTTCATTCTCAGTGCCATTTTCACAATCACCGCACTCATTTTAATCAACATCATTTTCAAAACAACCGACATTATCCCTACTACTTATCATTATCATGATTTTTATCTTATTACTACTTATCATTATCATTCTTATCACTATACTTATCATTACCACAAGTTTTGTTACCA